AGAGTAGTATACGTAGGCAGATATAAATGCCATATATCTCTGCGACTAGCCAAGTACTAAAAACTCAGGTTTTTAAGGGCCGAACGTGCTGTAGCCGGTAACAGTACATATATGTTGGAGTAATGCAGATACATTATTATTTCTGTGCAGCTGCAACCTTTGTGCAGCCAAACGTGAGCTTTGGTGTGCAGAACGACCGCCACGAGAAAAACCGTCGTTTTTCGGCAGCTTTTTGGTTTTCAGAATTTCGGATAAATCAGATTGTTACCGTACATCTGTTTACACGTAATCATTTCCAAGAAATTACGTTAACGGTGGCGGCCGTCTCGACGGCAGGTACCAGGCGATCGTGAAGCGGGGTCGAGCTCGCGGACAATCGGCAGCGACGGCGCTGGCGGCTGCAGCGTGCTGCTCGACTACTCGGCGGCTCGCTGGGAGGAGAGGCGGACTAGGAGGGCGCGGCGAGCGTCGCGAGGTGTTGTAGCGGGCAACTCCTCGAGGGCCCATCGACGCAAGTGGCCGGACGCGAGCAAGCAAGGTGAGCCCAATTAAAAAATCTCTTGTTGCCCTCACCCGACCCAGGCTGAAAGTTTGCATAGGTAGGTAAGGGTTTTTATTTTGAAGGGGGTCCTTTTTACAAATTCACAGCATGGTGTCTACACTGCTACGGGTGCTGCTTGGTCGAGATACCTTTTATGTTTGAATGCGTTTGTTTTGCTTGGTACAAATATCATGTATTGGCTACAAGATTTGATATAATGTACAGATATACATTTGTTAAAAAAATAGTCGCATATTTCGTATTTTGGCCATATCATAAATTAAGTGCCCCTTTTTCCGGGTCGGATCGTTGAGGGCAAACAAACATAATTTTTATTGATGGCTTGCGCGAGGGCAGGGCGTCAGCTGGGCGGCTGGTGGCCGGCGCAGGCGGAGCGATGTCGACAGATTCTTCCCGACGTGCTTGTACTGGTGCTGTGAGAGATGCCGATCGTGTGATTGATGGGGGGAACAGTCGCGTTGTGTGGCTGCAGTGTGGGGGTAGTCCGACAGACTCGCATCCGGACGAAATTGTGAACATTTGTATGGTTTAAGTGTGTTGCGTGTGCGCGTGTGGCATGCAGTGTGGCGTATATATATTATTTATGTTCATGCCTAAAGTTACATGTGCTTGGTAACTAACGCACCCCTGACGCCTGATTGCATGTCATGCGGGTAATGTGCTAACTGCCGTAGCTGCTTAGCGGTTTTTGTTGTCATAATAATAAATTGTAATGTATTCAAAATTTCAAAGCCAATTTTTGTATCAATTACTGTGGCGAAATATGATTCTTATAACTTTGGTCTTTATGTTAAGTTCAAATCATTATTGTTATTAACAAACTTATTATTTGTCTGGTAATCAATACGCCGAGTCAAGGAAAGAGGCAAGCAGGCAGCGTCGCGCCAATAAAAGAGTTTGGATGACACGTTATAGAGCTGGTGGTGAGTTTACACTGTGAAACATATTTTCATGTAATTCGCTGTGTGGCATCCAGTGTAAAAATATCTGGAAATTAACATTCTAACTCATAAACATCCATATTTATTAGTTCCAGTATTTATTTAGGTTCTAGACTTCTAGCTTAATCAACAATCCATTAAGGTAACTTTCCTAGCTCTAAAGCCAGGATTTCGAAAATCATTGCTCAAAAATGAGTAAATCAAAATTCGAATCGTGCAGTGTTTCGTGTACGAAGGTTCTAAGAAGATGTTAGCGTTCGGCTCTAAACAGTTGCTGTTTACTCAAGCAATAACGGTGGCATAACTAAAAGTGGGAACAACGTGAGACTGATTGGAAATTATTGATCGAAATCCTGGCATTAAAATCGAACACGGTTAGCACATGACTTGCTACAGATGGTTGATCCCAGATTGCCCTATAAAGCACGAGCTTACAAACAAACGTCGTGCGTGCGGCTGTTCAGGGTTTCTGTGGCGGTGATGCTGATGCGGGCCGCTACGAATCACGAACACGCATGCGCTCCGCAGCAGCCGCTGCACCGATCATGTTCCAGCAGGCCGCCAGGTAGCAGACGTTCCAACAACGTGACGAATCCTACGAGAGCGTGCGTATGGCGTCAAGGTAGGGGGCGCTCGGAGCTGGCAGCTCTTCCCTTCGCGGCCGTTGCCCAAGGCAGCTAGAGCGTCGTGGGTTCGTTAGCCGGAATTATATACTATAATTTTTACGTCGTTTGCTCATTGTTTTGTCGCCGCGCAGGATCTCTGGAAAGCGTCTGCCAAACGTCGACGACGTCCCTACAAATACTGTCGCGACGACGAGACTGTGACATCGACGATCATGGAGAGGTACGCTGCGTGGACCGCCGCACCCCATTGGCTCGCCGCAGCGCTGCGCGGACACCTCGCACGACCGCAGACCCTCGACCTTACGTAAGCTCCGCGCGCCCTGCGGTGGGGACACCTTGCGCACGACCGCACCCGCACACCGATTTACGTAAGCTCCCGCGCGCTGCCGGTGGGACACCATCGCAGCCGACCGACCGACACCTTTACGTAAGCTCCCGGACGCCCCTGCGGTGGGGACACCTCGCATCGACCGCACCCGACACCTTACGCGTAACTGCGCCCACGCGATGCGGTGGGGACACCATACCCCGCACCGACACGCACCCGACACTTACGTAAGCTCCCAGCAGCGTCGCACGCTGCGGTGGGGACACCTTGCGCGCGACGCGCAACCGATACTTACGTAAGCTGCGCGCACAGCTGGCCGTGGGACACCTCGCCACCGACCGCACGCGATACCTTTACGTAAGCTGCCCGCGCGCGCTGCGGTGGGGCACCTCGGCACCGACCACATGGGGTACGAGAGCAATGACCCGACACCTTTACGTAAGCTCCCGCACGCTGCGGTGGGGACACCTCGCACGACCGCACGCCGATACGCTTACGTAAGCTCCGCGCGCGCGTGCCGGTGGGACACGCTCGCACGCGACAACAACCGATACCCTTACGTAGGCTCCGCGCGCTGCGGTGGGGGAGCACCTCGACCGACCACGACCCGACACCCGGGACGTTACGTAAGCTCCCGCGCGCGTGGCGGTGGGGACAGCCGTCGCAGCCGACGGCACACGCCGACACCTTAAACGTAAGCCTCCCGCGCGCTGCGGTGCGGACACCCTCGCACGCGACGCACACCCGACACTTAACGTAAGCTCCCCGCGCGCGGCGGTGGGAGAGCACCTCGCACCGACCACACCCGACACTCCCCATTACGTAAGGCTCACCGCGCGCTGGCGGTGGGGACAGCCTTGCACGCGAGCCGGCACGCCGACACCTGTTACGTAAGCCTCCCGCACGCTGCGGTGGGGACACCGTCGCACCGACCGCCCCAAGACACGCTTACGTAAGCTCCGCGCGCGCGGCGGTGGGGACACCTCGTCCGCACCGACCGCACCCGACACCTTACGTAAGCTCCGCGCGCGTGCGATGGGGAGCACCGTCGCGACGACCGCACCTCGGACACCTTACGTGAAGGCTACCGCGCGCGCTGTCGTGGGGAACCACCTCCGGCACCGACCGCGACGACCGCGAACCGTTAGCGTAAGCCTCAGGCGCACGCTGCGGTGGGGAACACCTCGCACCGACCCGCATCAGCCGACACCTTACGTAAGCTCCCGGCGCGCTGCGGTGGGGAAGTTCCTCGCACCGACCCACCGCAGAGACCTACGTAAGCTCCCGGCGCGCGAGCACGCTCGCGGTGGGGACACCTCGCACCGACGCGCACCCGACACCTTACGTAAGCTCCTAGCCGCTGGCGGTGGGGACAGCCTCGCAGCCGACGCACGGGGCATCCGAACGTCTTACGTAAGCTCGCCGCGCACGGGGTGGGACAGCCTCGCACCGACCGCAGCCGACAGCCTGACGGTAAACTCGGCCGGCGCACTGCGGTGGGGGACCTCGGCACCGGACGCGCACCCGACAGCTTACGTAAGCCTCCCGCCCGCGCGTGGCGTGCGGGACGACTCGCACCGACCGGCCACCCGATCACCTTACGTAAGCTCCCGCGCACTGCGGTGGGAACCTCGCACGACCGCCACCGCGACACTTACGTAAAGCTCCCGCGCGCTGCGGTGGGGACACTCGCACCGACCGCACCCGACACCTTACGTAAGCCTCCCGCGCACTGCGGTGGGGACACTCGCACCGACCGCCACCCGACAGCCTTACGGAAGCTCCCTGCGCACTGCGGTGGGGACACCTCGCACGCGACCGCACCCGACACCTACGTAAGCTCCCGCGCGCGCTGCGGTGGGGACACCTCGCACCGACCGCACCCGACACCTTACGTAAGCTCCCGCGCGCTGCGGTGGGACACCTCGCACGACCGCACCGACACCTTACGTAAGCTCCCGCGCGCTGCGAGTGGGACACCTCGCTCCGACCGCACCCGACACCTTACGTAAGCTCCCACACGCGTGCGGTGGGGACACCTCGGGCGCCGCGACCGCACCCGACACCTTACGTAAGCTCCCGCGCGCTGCGGTGGGGACACCTCGCACCGACCGCACCCGACACCTTACGTAAGCTCCGTCCGCGCGCGCACGCTGCGGTGGGGACACCTCGCGCGACCGCACCCGACACCTTACGTAAGCCTCCCGCACGCTGCGGTGGGGACACTCGCACGCCGACCGCACCCGACACCTTACGTAAGCTCCCGCGCATGCCCCTGCGTCCATCCCCGCGCAGGTCGAACGCGCCTCGAATTCTGATTCGGTCGACTGATCGATGGATCCGTTTTTTGTTTGCTTGCGTTCGTGACGTTCGGTGGCGAATGGAGCGTGTCAATCGATCCTCGAATATCGATTTGGTCAACCAATCGGCGAACAGCCGCACGCGTTTTTCGCCGGGACGCGGTCGTTACGTCCCACGGCAATCGGCGCTTGGTTCAATAGGAGCCATGAGCGATATTGTGGTGCGCGAGGGTCAACCGTCCTCCCGTGGTATCCTGCTCGGAGGGTTAGATGAAACCAAACAGTGATGTGAATGAAAGGGTCTGGCCTGAATTACGGTCTGTGTTACAATCCAGAATGCCGGTGTTAGAAGCGGTTCAAATGTTTTTTTTACAATAATCAACTCGGGGCTCTTGTTCGGTTTTATATTTGAGTGTAGAGTTCAGTGCTTTCTATGAAAGGTATTGATGATGGCGAAGAGGCCATTGATGAGGTCAGGGAGTTTTGAAACAGTGACGATGACAGTGAGATAGGCGTGCGAAGCGTTGCCGTATGCTACTAACACCCTCGTTGCTGCCCGCCGTGTAAGTTTGTGCATGAATTGGTGCGTTTCAGCATGCTACCCCTACAACAATGACGATCCCTTCATCATCAACACCAATCCACACATCTATTTTGCCGGAAATCAGAGCAGATTCCAGACAAAGACTATCGAGAGTAAGTATGCTCTTGTGTTACCAACGTGAATGCCGTCAGCGACACGGGTGCCAATTATTTGGTTAGTTTGCATTTATGACCACCAGATGGAGCCATTGTGCCATTGTAAAGTATCATTGTGCTCCAGTTGGTTTTTGCGGTGCAGTCTGCCAATTTCTGCGCTGTAGGTTTAATTTGTTAAGGTTCTCTTTACTACCTTTCAGTGCAGTGGCATTAGCCTTGGTGCCTATTAGACTCATTACTATAATCTTCCCATTAAAGGCAAGTCTGCGCGTGTACTGTACGTATTGTTTGCCGTCGCTTCGTTCGGCGACTATTGTGGCAGGCTATCTAAGCCCGAATTAAAAGCACGGGGCCGTGCTTTTAGCGCCTCACGGTCGCATGTTAAATCCTCGGGCAGCGCACTATCCCCCCCACCCCCCCACCCCGCGCGATGCCGTGTTTGGAAACGGCTGTCGACGTTGCCACGGCGACGCTCCGCCGCGCGATCCCGCAGGCTGATATTTCGCTCGAGCGGCTGTGACCCAGTGTGACCCGCCACGGCCATCGTTTCGTAACTCGCATCCCACGAACATCCGCGTGGGGGGGCAGCGATGGCGGTGGCGAGAGCGATAGACGGCGCAGCGGTGGCGCCACCTATTGCAGCCTCCCTCCGTCGCCGGACGAGTTTCGGTGCGAATCTTTTGACGAGGAGTGAGGTTAATGGATATTGCCGATTCGGCGCGCGGGATATTTCATAACGCGAGCCGGCGAGCCGTGAACGCGCTCACGCGCGTGATCTGATTTCGTTTCGATGAGAGAAGTCTGCGCAGATTAGTAGATTGCTAATCGCTCCAAGCCTGCTGCACGGAGTCGGTGCTTTTTTACTCGGTGTTATTCTCGGGGGCGGACTCTATTTGTACACGGGTTTCTAGCGTGCACGGGTGCTAATCTGAGAGTGGGGGGGGAGTGGGAGAGGGAGGGAGGGAGGGGAGGAGGAGGAGAGAGAGATGAGAGAGAGAGAGAGAGAGAGAGAGAGAAGAGAGAGAGAGAGAGATAGAGAAGAAGAGAGAGAGAGAGAAGAGAGATAGAGAGAGATAGAGGTAGAGATAGAGATAGAGATAGAGATAGAGATAGAGAAGATAGAGAGAGAGAGAGAGAGAGAGAGAGAGAGAGAGAGAGAGAGAGAAAGAGGGAAGAGAGAGAGAGAGAAAGAGCGGTGGGAGGCGGGAGGGGAAACTCCCCAACGCTTAAATTGGAGGTTTTGCATCGCTGAGATTTGGAATTCAAATTAAGTAGGCCGCGCGTTTCATTTGCCCGTGGTGAATGCCGACACGTGGAGCATTTATCTTGCGAATTAATAACTGTGGCGGAAGCGGGATTAACTGTCTCTTCTCTCTCTCTCTCACTCGACTCTCTCTCTCTCTCTCTCTCTCTCTCTCTCTCTGCTGCTCTCTCTCTCTATCTCTCTATCGTCTCTCGTCTCGCTCTCTCTCTTCTCTCTCCTCTCTCTCTCTCTCTCTCTCTCTCTCTCTCTCTCTCTCTCTCTCGCTTTCTCTTTCTCTCGCTCCTCGCTCTTCTCTCTCTCTCTCTCTTTCCTCTCTCTCTCTCTCTTCTCTCTCTCTGCTCTCTCTCTCTCTCTCTCTCTCTCTCTGTCTCTCTCTCTCTCTCTCTCTCTCT